TCGAAAACTACGCGAAGAAGAAAACCTACTCACTGTGTACCATGAGTGTAATGAAATTGGAAAAGCGATTCTATCTCACTACATCACTGAATACGATGTAGAAAGTAAAATGCAATATATTGGCTACGACGGATCCGAAGAAGCCTTCGCGGCCGAAATCTTCACATTGATCTACCAACAACTGTCTCCAATACAACATCTGCAATTGGCCTGATTAGAATATATCAATGTTAGGCTATGTTCCAGTTGTCTGATTCCATGTGGCTCTGAATAGTGCGATGATTGCAGATGAATGTTGGAACCAGTCGAGAGAATCGACAAGAGAAAGGTCAAGTTTAGTTTAATGCGTCAGGAAACCAAAAATAAAAACGAAATCAAAGTTGATGACACTCAAGGAGTAGATAAAACCCAATTGCGAGATCACAAAATCAGGGACATCTTCCACTCAAGTGGTCAATCAACCGGTAAAGGTGCCAGCGAAAGAAATAGCATCAAAGCCCATCAAGAACAAACTAACAATGCAAGAAACGTTAATTATCTCATCAAAGTATACGATAACGAAGGAAAGGGAAAGTTGCCCAAATGAGCACATACCACAGATGCCAGCTTTGATTTACGATATCCGAACAAACAAGTCATTTGCATCAATCTGAGCCAAACTATCCTAATTAATCTTCACGTTGCCTTCGAGATCCCATCCGGTACTGTCTGTTAACTGATGTCCTAATCCTCTTTGGCAAAGCAAGGAATTGAGGTAAAGGGCAGAACGATCGATGCTGGATACACGGGAAACATCAGAGTGCTACTATACAACAACTCGACTCAGTTCTACGACATCCAACCCAACGAACGAATAGCCCAAGCAGTGTTCTTAAAGTTAGCTGAGATCACTGAAATATGAGTCATTCCGACAAGAAAGGAGTTGGAAGAATCGAGTTGAGAAAGTACTGGTTTCGAATCCACAGACCGCAATGAAATGGAAGCGTACTTCCTAGATAAAGATCAAAAAAGGAGATGATTGAACAAAGAAAATTAACTCCACAACAAACCAACCAACTCAACAAACTCTTAGATACATATCGAGGGATTTTCACCGCCGACATGATCGAGCTAGGACGAATGAACCTAGTGCGACACCAGATCAATACTGATAATGAAAGACTGATCCGACAAAGAGCTTATCGAGCCACTTTACCGGACCAAGAATTCATTCACGACAAAGTGCAAAGAATGTTGAATGCCGAAATCATATGACGATCCAACAGCCCCTGGGCTTCGCCTATAGTTATCATCAATAAAAAGGATGGAAAAAAATGGTTCTGCATTGATTATCGAAAAATCAATAACATTACCAAAAAGAACGCGTATCCCTTATCTAGGATCGATGAAATGTTAGACAATCTGGACCACGCTAAATGGTACTCTTTGCTAGATCTCATCAGCAGGTATTGGCAAGTCGGTATGGATGAACGAAGCATCGAAAAAACCGTCTTTATCTCCAGGGAGAGTCTCTACGAGTTTACTGTGATGCCATTTGGACTCTGTAATGCTCCTGCGACCTTCCAACGAGCAATGGACGCAATGCTAGGTAATTATAACTGGAAATTTACGATGGTCTATATCGACAATATAAATATATATTCCGAAAATTTTGAAGATCACCTGCAACACTTGGAGAAAACATTTCAACGAATTAGAGCAGCTGAACTCTGATTGAATTTAAAGAAATGCAATTTTGTCAGAAAAAGCCTATCATTCCTAGGTCACATCATCACCGAAGAAGGAATTTCAACCAACCTGTTCATCGTAAAAAAGATCCAAGAATTCCCACAACCACATATGGTTAAATCACTTTGTTCATTTCTCGGATTGGCTGGATACTATCAGAAATTCGTAAAGAGTTTTTTCCAGATCGCTGCTCCTCTATTCCACCTACTGAAGACAGACGTTAGATTTATATGGGGAAGAAAACAAGAAGAGGCTTTCAAAGAATTAAAGAAAAGACTTATCTCGACCCCGATATTAATATTGTTATGATTTAGATTTTCACTAAATCATAAAGTCATGTGCCGTTAAAATCTTATATTCTTATTGATTATATTTTATTTATATTTTATTGGATATTATTTTTAGTACGCTAAGTTACACA